CAATGAAGATAGATTCTTAATGGACTCCTTTGATGTACAATCTTTAGTTAATAATGAATCAACCTGTAATGGGGTAATTTTACTATAATTACACATGTAGAAACTGTACCACAGTATCATTAAAAGCTATATAATGCATGTATAGAGAAGAGGAATAAATATACACTTCGTCATAATAACTAGTCAATAGTCATACAATGACCCAATAATTTAGGCCAGGAGAAAAATCTAAAATAATAATTAACACTCAACAATTTTAGTAGTGACAGCAATCTGTAGTGTAGGCATGCTAGGACACATGCCCTTCAGCATAGGCAAGGTCTAAAAATACACTGTAATCTTACATTACATGTACATGTACACAATGCATATGTACAGACAACAACAAAATGCAATAAAAAATCAGAGTCACGATAAACAACTGCCAACAAAAATCAAGACACTTATATGCCAGTACACAAATTAAGAAATATAGTTTTACATTAACACAATTAAGGGTGGACCTACATGTACTACAGTCATGACATACAACCAATAATTAAGTCTAGGAATCTATCATAACACATTATATTAAATTTAAAATCAGGGTCCTATTAGCCTACATGTATACTCTGGGATACTACAACAATTATCGTGTTAATTACTGAATTACATGTAGCTACTTACCCATGTAATTACAGTAAAAAGTTACTATTGCAGTACCAAATGTGAACATTGCTATTACTTTATCACCCCATCCCATGCATATGACAATAAAATGATTATTTTTGCTTACCTGTAATAGTATTTCCCAAAATTGTTCAATCTGCCACTCTGATGCACTTTGAAACATCGTAAACTTCTTTTCCTTTAATTCTAACCTCTGTAAAATAGATGCTATGAGGTCTTTGACAGGTTGAAGTGTTTGTGCAACAGCATCTTTATGATCAATACAATTGGCCCTGAGCTCTTTCAGATTTTTGCTCCTCTCAAAAACTTTCTCATCATCTTCTTCCATTTTTTTCCTCATCACACCAACACATTGCAAACCAAGGTTTATTGTTGACATGACCCTCTCAACTGGATTGGCCCATGAATGAGATGGTGCAGTCCTAGCAGCAACAAGTAAATCTAAATCCAGATTAAGATAAAGTGCTATTAATGATAGCTGTACACTGACATAAGTAAGCCTATGGTCTGGCCCACCATCAGAATAAATGAAAAGAGCATGCCGTCCAACCATATTTGGCAACAAATAGTGATACAGCTCAGTAGCATGCCTCAGTGGTGATGAAGGCTCAAAAATAGCATCTTTAATACCAACATGAACTTGTCCTCTATACCACGAACCTGCCATTGTTACTGGAATATCTACCAGTAAAGTTACACTTGGTATAAGACTGAATTTACTAAAATCATGGTCTCCTACACAAAAAGTTTCATTTAGAGAGACAATAACTTCACGTCCTCGCTCAACTGCTGCTAAAGGAAAACCAGGTTCTCCAACTTTTATACGATGCTTATCATCTAAACAAACAAACAAAGCAACACTTCTGAGCTTGACAGCATATTCCCTCATATATCTGAATAGAGCTGCACAATAGTGTGCATCAATATGAGTCTTCCTGAATTGTCTTTTCTGGATCACATGTTTAGCTTGTAGTTGATTTCTGTACCGCTTGGCAGTAACAGTATGAGGGTTCCTTGGGAAAAAATTAAAACGCACCCAAGACTCAGATGGAACTGGCGTTCCTTCAGGACACATTTTAGTGACTTGCTCAATCAAGTCTCGCACTGAAATTGCTTTCGCCATAAAAGATACAGTATCATGACGCCGCTCATGTACAGTAGTGCAAGTAGTGAGATATTCATTGCACTTAGCCCAAAATAAGCCGAAGTTGTCTTCACTTGACGAATTCAAATGTCGTAAATCAATAATTATATCCATGTCTTCTGCTAACAATGCCTCTTGAACACGTTCATCAATCTCTCTCTCTGCAGTAGTTCTAGATGCTGAAGAGTCTTTAGTTAATGCGTTATACATACTACGCAGTAAGTATGGTTTACTTTCTGGAGAAATTCGACCATATAAAGTAAAAAA